AAGGAAGGTTATTTCTAACACTTTAGTATCTGACTGTACAAATATAAAAAGACCCAAAACTCATGTGTATTCGTTCTCTTTCCTATATAATCTCTCATCAGATTATATAAAAACATCAAAAAATATGACATTTTTTGCTATTAGTGTAAATTTGATGTGATGATGGGATTATTATAGTAGTACTACATTTTAAATATTTTAAACAAAAGATGCCTTTTTTCAATGGTTAAGGACTTTGAAAAAAATTAGCATTAGTATCAAAATAATCAGAACAACAATATCAACTAGTGGCTCCTAATGACTTCTACCAATTCCTTGAGTTATTTATTGTAGTACTTTCTTTCTTCTTCTCTCTTTCTCTCTCTTTTCCAAGAGAAAAGTTTAGACATCCAAGTGGTCTAACCACCATGACAAAATGATGTATTTAGACCTTCCAAGCAGAAACACAGTCAGTGCATGGGTTCTGAAGACAGACTGTAGCGTTTGAATTCTAGCTCCACAACATAGCTGTATGACCTTTAGCAAATTATTTAACCTTTCACCAATTTCCCTATCACTAAAAAGTGTAAATGACTTTGAAAAGTGTCAGCACAGACTACACAATATTAGCTATTATTATCTTTAAAATGGGTTTGCTAAAGGTAGCTTCCCTATTTTGATTTCTCCTACCTTTCCATAAGATACCAAATATCACCATCTTGGGATCATATTCAAATTTATAATTCTAATTTATATCCTTAATCTTTTTCAAATACTAAAAATAAGAGCAAGATTGTCCTGGTTATTCATTTAGTCTTCATATTAATAAATTTCTTGATATCCTGAACAAATTTATTTGGTGACTAATGGCCAGCATACAGTTGTGCAGCTAAAATCAGTATGGTTATCCTAATCAATCAAGTTGTTATCTGTACATTTATTGTTTTCTGTTGGAAATGTTAGCAACTATGTGGAAAAATCTTTCAGAAACATTAATTATATAATATTTCTTATTAAAATATCAGAAGACATGAAAATGGAAAATAAATAGAATACTATCTAATTCAATGAACAACAAAAACACAGAGAGAAAATACTTAAGGTTAAAACTTGAAATTAATACATAATGGCTTAATAAAGTTTGCATTAGATTATAAAACTAATAAATTAAAGAAATAATAGGACTTTGAAATTTAGAAATCCTGACATTAAGGAAAGATCTTGAAAGAAAATTCAATCTCATAGAAAAAAAATTAATGGTATATTTTTTAAAATTCGATGCCATGGCAGAAAAATAGGAATTTTAAATAACACACTTATATAACATAATTGGATCATTCCCTATATTGGTACATGATATTAATTACAATCAGGATCATAGCAAGTAGACTGCAGGCTCTTATCCTTCTAATAATCTAATTGGGAGTCACAGGAAATCAGGTAACTTTTGGACTCTGTTGGCTTAAAAAATTCAAGCTTGTTACTTGCATACTGTATACTGACTCTCTCGGGGGTTTTTTAATATGTTTTTAGGCTTTAACAGTCATAAGTTAAAACTATATTTTTCACTTTCATTGGTCTACATATTTAATGTCCTCTACCTGGTCTTTAAACAAACTTGCCAGCATATTTTTTAGGTTATCTCCACATACAGCTAAAATGAAATTGTAAGACAATCTTTTTGTTTTATCTACTTTTTCAATCTCCTCACAATTACCAATGTGTTGTTGTCGGACACATAAAAGAATACATAGATCTGGTGTCTACAGTTTATGACCTCTCTTTTTAGACCGTAAGCTCTCTATTTCACTCATCTTCCTAAAACACATAGCAAAAAAGCTGTGGATATATTAGGTCTTTTATTCACTGAAATAAAATGAATCAATGAAAGGAAACACTAATTTAGATAGTCATCTAGAGGCTAAATGGATAGCTAAAAAGCATTAAAATGAGTACTTTATTTAATACTTTATTAAGCACCAATACAGTGCCAGGTGCTATATAGGATGTAAAGGTAAATTATAAAGTGTATCTTCTCTCAGGGGGAAATGACAAAGAATTAAGGAGACAGACAACATGAGTAACCCTTGCAAAGAAGTAAACAAAAGGTTGGTGGCAGAATAGGGGTAAGTCCCAGTAAAATGCTCAATTTTACAGATGAGTATTATCCTAAAAATACATTGTACAAGATACTTACATAATTTTAAATTTTCTAGTAAACACATTACAATGAAATAAGAAGTAATATTAACATCACAAACATCATTTCAACATGTAACATAAAAATTGTTTTCAGAAATTTTACATTCTTTTTTCTACTATACATACAGCAAATCTCTATTTAGACTAGCCACATTTAAACTGATCAATAGCCACATGTGGCTAGTGACTACCATCTTGGAAAACACAGATATAGATTCTTATGTAGTCTAATATGGTATATTGTACATATATTGAGGAAAAGTCAGAAACATATTAGGAACGGGAGGCTAGATGTAGTGATATTAAAGTAAGCTTTTATTAAGGTTGTAAAGCCAGAAAATCATGAAACTTATCAGTATCATAGAACTGATTTGGACATTGGGGTTAGACATTCAAAATAAACTGTATCCTTTATACTCCTATACATAGTTTTGTATCTACAAAAACATACACGCCAAAAAGAAGTGGTGAGGTTATTTTATCTTTGATTATGACAATTCAATGACTTGCTATACCATGTTTCAAATTATCCATTGGCTATTCATGGAAATTACTATACTGACATCTTGTTTCTTATGTTTTTATTTAAAAAGCTATTTAAGGTGGTGATACTATACCAAAATTTTTAAAAAAGTTTTTTGTTAGTTTCACCAAGTCTGAAATAGTCATAAACACATCAATATTCATTCTACTGGGGGAAAAACTCAGATTTCTGTATAGGAACTATTTAAAGTATATAATTATTTCTGAAATTCTATAATGTTTTTAAGGTTTTCAATTTTAACATCCTTTACCATATGAAGGCAATGAAGTATCATAGTATCATAGAGTAATAGTATCATAGAGTAATCTCCTAAAACTTAGGCTACCTAAGTAACTTATAAACATATCACATAAATTAAGGCTTTGTAAAACTTATATCATGCTATTAAAAACATTACAAATATTATTTAGGCTGAAATTATTATGAAAACTATCTTAAAATTTAATTAACTAACATAATAGTAATCTTTATTCCTCCCTCTCCCCCCTAGTGATAGGACCTACTTGGCTATTTACAATATATTTTTAACCATTTCAGCCTTTCTCAAATTTTCTTATTATAAGAATAATTTGTGTAAGTTAATTAAAAACATGACTAAACTGAGTAATTCTTGCATTTCTACAACTACAAGTAAAATAGTTTAATAATTATATGTTTTTGTTAATAATGAACACATACTAATTGTAAATTCAACAATTTCATTAATCATTTATAGAGGATAAATTTTCCAATATTAAGTATAAAAAGTAAAAAAAATAGATTTTCTTTAAATATGCCATTCATTTTGTTTAAGAATATATTTAGATTTTAAAAACAAAACAGAAGAATTGCTAGACAGATACTAAGCAGGAATCACTGAAACACAATGCTAGTTCTAATGGATGGATGATTGTGTTTGGTCTTTTGAAACTTTGAAGTATAGGTAAGTCTTGATCACACAAATTAATAAATCCTAAAGCTGGAGTTAACAATAACCATTACACCCAAATTCTGCAGCTTAGCCCAGCCAATTTTTCAAAAGGTCAGGTTGTGAACTGGAGAAGATCAGGGAGGTCCACCGCATAGCTTTGTTGCCAGGCATCTCTCGTCTGGATTGTTGCAGGCATTTATTAGTATTCGTCAGCAGACTCAACAAAGCAAACAAGAAATTCAAGCACGAATAATAAAATGAAATGCTGCTATATAACCCTTTGTCATTCAGCAAATATGGGACTTTTTAGCTACATTGTTCCTAAACCTGGGTTACTACTTTAATTTTTCTCCACAGTGCTGACTGAATGAGTATGCATGTGTGTTAAATGCAGAGCTCCCCTAACAACTGCAGGACTGCCATTTAATCTGTTGGTAGATGGACCATTTCCTGTGGGAACCCTAGCTATGATTTCCAGATCCACCAAATAAATCTCAGATTAAGATTCCAAATGAAACCTGCCTTTGGCAGATAAAAAATGTCAAGATGGATATAAACAGTAAAATTATAAATTATCTAGGTGTTGCATGACAAACCAATGCTCAATTTTTTTTGTTGACATGTACCCAGATATCAAAACTATATGAGACATTCATCAAATGTCACACTTTCATAATATTGGAGGCATCATTAAAACTGTTTGACTAAGGACCTCAAAGTGTTTAAGCAGTAGCTCAAAAGTATATTTGTGCAAAGTAGAAGAATAAATTTACATATCAGCAGCAGCTCATAAGGGATGGGTAAATATTCTGTTTATCTCTCATTGTAATTCAAGTTACTTTAAATACAAGGTTTTAGGAAATCATTATACTCTATATGGCATCATTACATAACTTTCTATGCAAATGATATGTTTTATTCAAATTTACCATTTGTTTCTCAAAAAAAAAAAAGCCCAAAAAAACAAAAAGAAAAGCATAAAAGGAAAAGGTAGGACTGCTATTTCATTAATCAGTTGTGACTACTAAACTAGTGCCTTGTTAGTCAATTACACTATAGCATCATCTGACTTCTGTTAAGAGTTAGCATTTTAATTTTTTTTAAAAAGCATTAAATACTTCAGACAAAAAAGCCTCAGAAAAGTAAATTTGTTTTTTGATAACATGTTCATTTCAAATGACTTGGGGGAAGGGCAGAGACTTTTAAGAAAAAGATAATAAAGGACCAATATAGAACATCTTAGAAAGCAAAAGGCCTATTAAAAATGCAGAGGAAGTCTCTAGTGCTAGTTTCTACTGCATTCTCAGGAGATTAAGGACTGCTTTTTTAATGAAATTTTTTTTTTTTTATCTTTGCTCTTCTTACCTGGACTAATGCAGCCTTGTCCTGATCTTAAACTCTGTACTAGTTGATTATAAAATATAGGCAATGAAGGTTTCTGAAAGGAAACAATCAGATTTGCTGAAATGTAATCATTACTTGTCTTTAACTTTAAACTGTTAAAAAGTAATTGAGTAAAAGGCTTCAGTAACTTCAAATTTTGCAACATTTGATTTTTTGATAAAAATTTTAAAACCATGTAATTTACTTAAAATAAATTCTTTCAAATTCTAACTTCTTTACACTTATAGTAATCTGTGGAAAGTATACAGAAAACTCCATACTCCATATTCCAAATCTTAGAGTTTGTATACAAGCCTGAAACCTTAAGGACTACATAATTGTTCTGTCTTCCCTATCATATTTCTTTCCTCCAATACTTGCTGCTGGTTCAAGGAAACTAATGCTAACTAAACCCTATCTATGCTAATCTGCTAGTAACTGATAACAATCTGAAATTTTTGAATTTTCTGGAGTGAGAGAGAACCTTAATTAAAGAAGAAAATAAAGGTATCTTGTGCTTAACTTTACACATTCAGTTTCTATACTAGTATAATTTCCTCAATATGAACTAACCCATTTGCACTTTTCAAACATTATCATCTTAATTTTATAGCACTAAATGGTTATGATTGTGAAAATGTGAAAACTAGGATCAGTCAAAAAATAAACATGAAAGTCAAAATATGATTTTCTAAAAATAATTACTCTTTACCTTATATTTTTCAGTAATTTCACCATTTGGCAAAGGGTTATTATCAATTTTACCCAAAAGCTAGAAATTAGAATATTTTTAATTCAATCATTTAGACTATAAAATAATCTAGTTAACCAATTTCAAAATATGGAAGCCTGATTTATTCTGTTTGCTTTTTTATATTCCCTAAAACAAGCAAAACACAAAGAAAAAATTATATTTGAAACTCCCCCAAAGATAATAACACGGTAACAACCTATAGTATGATAGGTTGTTTTGATTCAAATAAAACCAAACCACTAAAAGTTGGAGTATTTGGTGAATCCTCCCAAATTTTTAAAAATTCTACTAACATGGATATATTTATAACCAAAAAGTAGTAAGTGAATGTACACTAAAATATATAATTTTGTCATTTAAGAAATATTTTTTTAAAGGTATTTAGAATACCTTTAAATCTAGGAAGTCACATCAGTCCTATTCTACACTCAACCTGTACCAACTCTGTAAATGGTCTTAAATTTAGTCTATATAACAGTGTATACTGATCCAAGTATCCTAAATCAACAAAATGCCAATACACACTCAGAACTTTATTGTAATCATACTAAGGAGACCACAACAGTCATCTTAAATATGATAAATTGAAATTCTAATGTCTACAAAAATTAAAGATTCAATAATATTATATTAAGATTTGTGTTGTAAATATGTATTAGAAGAAGTGCTCTGGCATGAAAGGCCATAACCAGAAATGAAGGAGAATTTTTATTGAAGAGCTCAGATCTCAAGGATGGAGAATTTAAAAACAAGGCAAAAAACTTCTGACAAATCTAACTAGTTTTTTCTATTTCAAAAAAATGGTTGTATTTTCATGGCTATAAATAAATTTGAAAGAGCTTGCATTTAAAAGTAGAGTTGGTATTTCTTTAAACCAAAGAAATAGAGTCACAAATTCTATAAAGAAAGAAGCATACCAATAATAGAAATGCGGGAGAGCAGGTCCTATTAAGAGAAATTTACCATTTTTGATACTTACTCTTCTTGGTAATGATCGTTTCTACAAAATGGAAGACCAAAGATGGAGTAAGAAGTCCACAAAAAGAGTGGGGCCTGAACTGATTTAAAACACTATTTAAATTTAGTGAAGGAAGAAAGAGAGAAAAATGAGAGAAAAAAAGAAAGCAATGAGGGGGGGGAGAGAGGGAAAGAGAGAGAGAGAGAGAGAGAGAGAGAATGAATGAATCGTGTTATCTCACAAACTTTTCACTTATTAAGAATTTAGGGATAAGTTCATCAGTTGTAATAAACATACCACTGTGGAATGTTGATAGTAAGGGAGGTCGTGTGTATGTAGGAGTAAGGGATATTATGGGAACTCTCTGTACTCTATGCTCGATTTTGCTGTAAAACCTAAAACTGCTCTAAAAGCTAAAATCTATTTTTAAAACTACCAAAACATAATTTAAAAAATAATTTTTGGCATAAACACACCAATGTAAAGTATTCATATAAGAAATGATGAATTTCAAAACACAGTTCACAACAAACATTATAGCCAGCTAGAAAATTAAGTTACCCCTGTAAACATTTTTTCATTCTATTTTTCTAACACCAAGAGCATTAATAGAATAATTCACATCAAGCTTAAAAAACAAAGAAACCCAGAATCCTATTTATTTTAATAAACTTATTTAAAATAAAAGAAACATTTTCTTATAATAGTATAACCTCGATCATTCTTCTAAGAGTAGCCTCAGCATTTCCTCAGGAAATGAATCAATCCTTGCTGGCCAGCTGCCAGTATTCCTAAAACCACTCTCTCAAATATTCTAGATGGTCATGTGCGAGAAGCTACTAGCACTCTATTAAGCTAGGTCCTATGGACATAAATAGTAAATTTAATCAGACCTCAGACATGTTCTTTTTTTAACCCCTCTATGGCACATGGAAAATTTAAAAACGCAATCTTAAATTCACACTTGTCAAAAGGAAATAACACATAAAGTATTCTGTGATGCCATGAATCTAAAGATTTTTATTGCAATTGAAATTTCAACACAGGCAAAATTAGATTTTACCCTAAATGAATACCACTGATTCTATATTATAGTTTATCAAATATATTAAATATTAGCTACACTGCTTGGAAAAATCGAGTATCCAATGATATTCTGAACATTTTATTTGAAGAAGATAGAATCCTTATAAAGCTAATAATAACCATTTCAAATACTGTTAATAATGTTTCTTAATACTATTGAAACTTTTTAATAGATCTACCTTCTATAGCTGGAAGGAATAACAATAGCAACAACCACAATTTATTTAAAGGTCCTGTAAAATATGTCAACAATCTTTTTTCTAGCACCTGTAACCACTAGCACCATCGCATTAGCAAAAGTAATTATTCTGGAATGTGAAATACATATTAAATAAATTAATTCCTGTTCAGGCATTGTAGTAGGGCCTTTATACATAGCATTCCTAATCTTCACAGTAGTCCTAAAGGAATTCTCTCTCCATTTCATACACAAGAAAACTCTGACTTACAAATCGTTATGAAACATTCACCCAAGATAGATAGTAAGTGGAAGTGTAATTAATTGTATTTAATTACAATTAAAAAATTGTAATTTATGTCTACCAGGTCCAAAACCTGTGTTCTTTTCCATCACAACGTTTTTATTGACATTATTAAACCTATTGGTTTTCCAGTGCAATTTATCTGCTGCTTTAAAATATAGGCAATATCTAAGAACACTAATTATATTACTTATTTAGGGAAAATATCATTACTTACTACAATGCCAATTATTAAATAAAATTTAAGAACTATAATTTAACAGAGAATGATTAATTAGGTATTTTCAACTCCTTGAATTTCAAGGAGTATCTAATCTAATGCCTAGTATCTAATGCCAGGGGAATAATTTTTTTCTACCAGCTATCTTGCTAGTAGAAATGGATGTCCACTCTAAGCAATTTGCCATTTTCCTCTCTGCCTTAAACATAAAATAGTTTATGAAAATGATATAAGCTTCTACAATCATATTTTATTTAGTTATAATGATCAATAACATTTAAAAGCATCAATGATATTTTTCTATAGTGTTTCTTTAGTTGTCTACTCTTATAAATGTTTACAGATCTGCAGAAGTTTTAGTTATAATTCAATTATAGAATAACAGATGGACAAAAGTTAAAAAGAGTATGTATCTGGTAAACAGAAAGATAAATGAACCAATAAGAAAAGAAGTTGATGGTGGCACACAGGTTCAAAATGCCAAGCACAAATTAATAGTACTCTGACTCGATTAAGAAACTAACACACCACTTACAAGTTAGCTTTTGCTAAGTTTTGTTTACTTACCTATTTATTTAATAGAAATTTTTTGGTCATTTACTGTGTTTTTTAGAAAAACCATAAGAATCATGTTTATAAAAGATATCTGTTAGTCTAACACTAAAATAAAGAGGAGGACAGTTGCTTTTTTACATAATCTCAGAAAGATTAGATTTAAAAAAATATTTACTAGCCTTCGATACACTGTCACATATAAAGATTCTATTAACATAAGCAGTTCTAGAAGTGGTTTCTCACCTCGTTTCACATGGGCCCAATGATTCCTGATTTAGAATCATGCTCACTTTTTAAGCTTAAAAATAAAACTAGTTTAAAAATATGTAATCCATATCTAAATCTAGATAATTCATAAGTGAAAATAACTACTGTGTGTAAAATTCATATTAAATATGATTCCTTAAAATAATAAACCTAAAAATAATACTGAAGAAACTCATTAAACTGAAAGGTTTTTGTCTAAAGCTTCCTCAAGCTGTATGAGTCTCACCATTTCTTACCTTTACTTGGTAAGAAATATTTAAAATATAGCTGACTAAATATTTAATTTTGGTAGGCACAGTAACCTTTTTTAACCTTTCTTAGGGAACACTGACCCCTAAAGGTTCTAAATTTAAATAAGTTTCACAATTTTGTAAATGTTACTGGTATCCAGACCTCATTTTACCTACATTACTGTAAGTATGTATACTCATGGCAGACATATTTACTCATAAATAATATGCAAACTATTTCCAAAGGATTGTTGTACACAATTGTTGTATAGACCATGTTTCTTCTAATAAAAACCACCAAAATTAATATGTCATAATCAGGAATTTATAACCATATTCCAAATAATTATTCTTAAGAGATTTCTGACCTTCATGCCTTTTTTCTTACACATGTAAATAAACATTAAGTAAATGCTAAAAAGGGCTAAACAACAATCATATAACTTATTCTCTCAGAGGGTTGACTTTACGTAAGTATAAACTCCTTTGAGTATGACATTTCATTTTTTTCTTTACAAAAAAAAAACAACTGACAAAGTTAACACAAAAAGGCAAAACTTTTTAAAAGGTCAGAAGATGGTACCAATGCTCAGTTGGCAACACAATTCATGCAGAATTGTTTCTAAGTGTGCAAAAAGAGAAACAATGTACCTTTTAAGTAATTAAAAATACATTCATTCAGGGTTGTTTTTTAACTACTTAAGGAAACTTGGACACATTTTGTAGATAGATGTCTTTACCCATCCCATCTACCAACCTCAGATTTCCATTTGCCAATATGTCTATGACAAAAACAAAGAAAAATGTAAATGGATATTTATATCTGTTACGTTATCTACCTCATGAACTCTTTGACTTAGAATATTTCAGCAATGTTTCTACAACAAAGCTAGGGAAAAAATGGCCACTTCAGCACTCCTTATAATGAAATTTATAAGAATGCAAGTGTAATACAAATTTTAATTAACTCGATTTCTTTTAAAAATAGCAAAATGATATTAAATAAAATAACTATTCACAAGACCAGACTATGAACATTTGTGTAAGATAGAACTTTGAAGCAATCTGTGTTTTAGGATAAATCCCATGAACCTTATTATCAGAGAGATGACCATCTGAGACTTTGCTGTTTAAATACACCAATTATCCATAAACTCTTAAGTTACTACATTTACCCATTTAATTTTATTTCTTAATGATGTTTATTAACAGGCCCTTATAAAAATGAATGTCTTATTCCTATTTCCAATATCAAAAAATTGCTTGTAAAAATACAGACTTTCTTAATGATGTTTTGGTCATATCTGTCTGTAGTCCGTGCGTCCTGCAAACTATTTATGCATCTGTCTTCAATGCTAAAACCTTCCTTTTCTTAAGTATACCAGAGCTTCAGCAGCTTCTTCCTTGCCATCTTTCCTGGACATTTTACATTTATGAGAAGTACTTCCTCCACAGTGTCTATCCCTTTAGCTATATTAAAAATAATTATTTGGCTCCTTAAATATCATTTGTTCTCTAATTTGAACAATATATGACTTTCACAGCAATATGATCTATGAATAGGGATATAAACCACAGGCATGGCATTATTTGCTTCCTTTTTGTTATTTTGTACATAAATTGAATAAAATTCTTTTTTAGTTCTTTAAAAGAAGAATGTTTACTTGCTTACTTAAATAAAAATATAGCTTAAAATATAGCAACAAATGAGTTCCCAATGTTATACCAATACATTCTTATCATAAACTTGAATATAAAGAATATATCAAAATTAAGTGTCACCATAGTTCATGCACTAAAACTATTAACTTTGCATTAAAAACCTTTAACCACCTTACTCAGATATTATATATTGCAGCTTTATATACAACTCAATGAGTTAAGTGGATCCTAAACTCATAACAAGCAGCCTAAAGTCACAAATAAGAAGAGAAATTACTAATGGTAGACACAAACAGTAAGAAAATTTATCTAACAGTATGGAAATCAAAAACAAATGTACAAATCAGAAAAAGGTACTCAGAAAATATAGCATCTTTCTATACCTCAAAGTGTAATTATTAACTTATTTAGTACAATGATTACAGAACAGTCCCCCAAAGTGGCCTTTAACCTTCTAAAAAAAGGTAACAACATGGTTAATATATGTTGGGGAAAGGGGAACTGAAAAAGGAAGAGATGTATACACTGTTTTAGCAAGAATCCTATTTTTTAAGTTATAAAACTGAGAGGAAATAAAAAAAAGAGGTACAAAAAAGTTTAAGAACCCAATTATATATAATATTATATTCAGAATGATTAATTTCCCAAGGATTCCAAATTTTCAATACTTTGCTATAATGGATCTTACATCTACCTCTCTCCCTCCTGTATGTGTGCTGCTCTACCTATCTACCCATCCATCTGTCTGTCTAACTCTTTTTCTGATTGTCCCTCAGTCAGTTTGTCTTCAGATTCTCTTTCAAACTGTGTTTCTGTCTCTGATTGTCCCCTGCCTCTTAGGCTGTGTCCCTCTGCCTGTACATATCTGTGAATATTCTCTTCTGTCTTTCCCTATGTCTCTGTCTGTATGTCTTTCTCTGTCTCCCCCTGTATATCTCTGCATATCTCTGTAGCTCTGACTGTCTCTGTCTGAGTGTGTCTTACAATGTGCATGTGTCTCTATATTTATGTATGTCTCAGTCTGTTTCTCTGTGTGTATGTGTCTCTTCTGATCTATGTCTTTCTCCTTGGTTTCCATGTGTGTGTCTGTCTTTCTCCCATTCTCTCTATCTCTATTTACTCTGTGTGTCTGTTTCTCTGGTGTCTTTTTCTTTCTCACTCTGGTATCTCTCTCTTTCTCTGTGGGTATCTGTGAATATGCCTGTCCCTCTATCTCTCTGGGTGGGTTTCTTTTTTTTCCTGTCTCTCTTATCTTGGTATCTCTCTTTCTTTTTGGAGTCTCTGTGTCTCTTTTTATGTGCTTCCATATGTGTGTCTATGTCTCTTGCATCTCTCTCTTTAAATATCTTCCTTCCTATGTCTCTTGCTGTCTACGTTCCTTTCTCTGACTTCCTCTGTGTCTCTCTCCCAGTCATTCTCTCAGTTTCCTCTGTCTATTTGTATGCAGGTATGTTTCTCTCTCTTCCCCTGTGTCATTTTTCTTCTTCCTCTCTCAATGTCTCTTTTCTGTGTGTCTCTTTCTCTGTGTGCATGTGAGTGTCCCCTTCTCTTTGTGTATGTCTCTTTCCCCATGTCTTTCTTTGTGTCTCTTTTGTAATCTGTGGGTCAGTTTGTGTGTGCTCCCCGTGTGTGTGTGTGTGTGTGTGTGTGTGTGTGTGTGTTTGTGCACATGCAAGCTTGTCTGCCTTTAACATACTGGTTAGAACACACACTTCTTTCAGTGCCTTGAACTAGCACAACACCTGGGGCTTGGTTTTAATACCTTTAAAGTCCTTACCTTTTGACCAGTCCTCCATTTGTGCTCCTGTTCTTGTTTGCTCTGGCAATGTCTCTGGTTTTTGCTCCAAGATTTGAGGCTAAAATAAAGCCAACTCTAGATAAATAAACTTAAAACAATATATCAGAACACACCTAAACTTTACCTTTGTTTAACAGAGAATTTACAGGATAAATGGTTTTCTAAAACATTTATAACAGGACAATTAACTGTGTATCTCAACAAGTGAAATTAAATCTTTTTCTCAGAAAAAGGTTCTTTTTTCACACTTTTATTTTAGTAAATACAGTTCAGGTTAAGCTTTTAGACATTCTTGCTCCTTTGGTTAGAGAGCCATTTAATTTATTTAAGTTAAGCCTTCTCTAACTGTAATTTGAAACATTTTCAAAAAATAAAATTTTTACTGTATTTGCCATAAATTTTATATCAAAAAATTTCAAATTTATTGATTTGAATTTAGTATGTATATATTCACATAAAACAGTCTATACTTGTAAAAGTCATTTAAGAATGCCATTCTAGTTTTTTTTATTAAAAAAACATAAAAACTATCATTAACATATAGAATTACTGATATTTCTCTCAGATTGGGCTAGATCTAAAAAGAAAAAATTTAAAAAATTAAAAAAAAATAATTATTGGTATTTCCCTGTTGTATTTTTTTTCATAGTAAACAAGATAAAAGTATCCAAGTATTTTTTTGCGTGCTTTTAAGGAGAATAAAATTAGATTTACCTCACAGCTAGAACCTGCGTTCTTTTAAAAGTCCTCAAATAAAGCTGTAGTAAGCTTCTCCTTTTCCAATTTTCTCTAAATATGTTGATCTGGAGTTGGCAATCTTTTTCTAAATTTTTCATTTACTTTTGGATTAGCTGAAAATATAGGAAGTTATTAATATCAAAGAAATATGTTTCAGTCAATGAAGCCATTTCCCTACATATTGCCCAAAAAGGTTAATAATAATTGCAGTATTTTAATAAGAGATTCATATAGCAAGACATGTAGAAAATACAGTCTTTAATAACCTCTGGAGTATTTTAAAACATGTCTTACAGGCCTTAATGTGCTTAGTAATATACTATTTAAAACCATAATTTTATCCCTCTGCAATATACAGTCACTCTTCCTCATCATTTACCCAGCTAATGAATGCCAGCAATTAGTAAAATGTAATCCCATTGCACAATCATTTTAATGCTTTTAGCACTCAGAAAAGTAAACATCAAATTAATACTGCTCAAGCCATATCAGATCCTAGTTGGAAGCAAGCAATTATAGTTCAGCTCCTCAGGTGTAATTAAATGATTGGAATGATTTAGTTCCATAAATGCAAGTTAATTCATAAGCAAGCAACAAATATACTGGGAGTAATTACAAGAAACATTGACAGTCTAAGCAGGGCAAATTCTTTTATGTGCCTGAAGTAGTAATATGCTGCCCCCTACTGGGCATATAAGTGATTACCTCAGAGCCAAAACCCAAAAAATCCACAATGAAACTTAACTTTTAGAAAGCCACTAGACAAAATAATAACCATTATCAATTCAGTTTCATCCTTTATTCCGAAAACCTAAATGTATGGCTTATATTATGATAATTTATAGACACCCAGATAATTAATGCTTTTTCCAACAAAGCTCTGAGTCCTCAAACACACCAGGTAATTCCTATACTTTTAATGAAACCAATTAATGTTTATATAACATTGACAGACAGACTACAAGTGAAACTGCCTGTACCCATCTGGAATGCCAGTCAATGCCTATGTTCTCTCAATGGTAAAACCTAACTGGACTGTTACAGTTAATAACTAAACTATGTTTTTATATGTAGTAAAATTTGCATGAAAAATGTAAAACAAAATAATCCATATTATTGTGATTTTACATAATGGTCTAAGTTAATTTTTTTAATAAACTTCAATAATCAAAACAAAACCATGAGCATTGGCACAGCCGTCATTATAAGCATATATTAAAATGTAGAGAGTAACAAGTACTACACAAAATAAAATGCATCCTGGTCTTACTTAAGCCATTCCCAACTTCTTATTTTCTTAGGCTAAAATTCAGGACAAATGTATTTGTATACTTATTAGTTGGATAGCCCTTAATTTTTTACACTAAACTTTCAGAAGTTCATTTATTATACTTTTAAGTTATGCTGTAATCAATAAGTTTATGTTAAAAACATATGCTTATAGTACTTAAACTCAGTCAGCATCATCCCTTTGCCTTTCTGCAGAATTGAATATGTTCTCGAATAAAATACTGCAGTTAGTACAATAAATGTTTACTTCTTCAATAAATGCAGATGGCACTAGCAAAAAATAATGCTTAACGCTATACCAATATTTTGGGGGAAGGAGAGAGCATTAAATTAATGACCTTCTAATTTGCTTTCAAATGAATTAACCATATATAAACCATAAAAATAAATCAAAATATCAAAAAGTCCTGTCACTAAGTTTAAAATGTACAGCACATTTGCTTTGCCCTTGATGTCACAGTCTTATTTTTCAATTCATATCTTGTACACTGTAAGTTAATTGCTTTCAGAAAGTACTTATTATTCATGTAAAAATTAATGTGCCAATGTGTTTAAATCCTCTTAAATGACCATTCATGCATCTTTCTTCTTTAAGTACCAATGAAATCTGTCAAAGACATCAATGCAAAATGGTTTTAAAGGAAAGTTCTAATAGACATTTTTTTTCAGCTAACATAAGATTTTCATATTCACCAACTTTACTTAAATTCCATTAATTTTTTAAGCTACTTTTAATAAATTCACCAAGTAAAATTTTTAGGCCCCATAGTCTGTCATTTGTGTTCCAGCTGACATTATGAATATTAATAACAGTGTTATCCTGATTAAATAGGCTTCATATGAAATCCCTGTGAATCCTATAGCTCAGACATCTCATTTTTCCAACTCTTTATGAATTTGGATTCAGACATTAAACTGGAAAAATCTTAAAAAACAGATTTGGTGGTACATTTGCATATTATTAAGCAAAAATTAGATGTTTTAATGATTCAAAAACAATTAAAACATATATCTACATATAATAGGAGTAGATTTCTGTAAACATGCAACATATTTTACATTTCTATCCTTTTTAGGACAAAGGATTAAGACTAATAAAATGCTAATTCCTGTCCTTACCTTAAAGATTTGATATTAAGAACTTGTTTTCAGTCCAAAATTATATATTAACATTAAAATTAGTGAGAATGTTTTACAGTAGACAATCAGATAAGTTGAGTTTCTTAATCAAAATGCTAACTTACTACATTACAGATAAAACATAAATTAATTACTTTACCATTACTAAGCTGTACCAGATTCAAGAAGCAAAGTAAAATCAATTTCCAACTAAAGTTTGTTTATAAATTATGCTGGAAAAAAATTACCTATATTAAAAAAACCTCTAATATAACCAACAGAATATACCATATTGGCATCTGTTAAATTAAAATCTTCTCCATCACAGATTCCTAAGCTTATTCCTCTAGGTTATTTTTTTTTCTTCTTTTTTTAACTACAATCCAGACATCTAGGATAACTCCAAATTATTTTTAATTTTGAGAAATTTTCAATATAATAAAAAAGGAAGTGAGTCATAGTATGTAGAAGAAAAATGAACAATAATTCAGCTAACTGCATGCCCCTTTCTCTCTAGGTACATGGAAATCTTAAAATATCTGACAAAGTTTCCTATATTCACCCATCAAAAAAAATGAAGACTGGAAAAATTTAAACAAACATTTCTATGCTCTCAAATGTGACTTGACTTTCCTGTTTACTCAGCATTAAAATACTTCATGAAACAAAATTTGTTCTTTGACCAGTCTAAAATTTCTAATCTGCCTAAAAAATTATAAGTAATTCTGACATTTACTCTTTAAAATTAAATAATGCCTTTTTGATAGAGAAGCATTTAGAAATGGGATTTCATTGCCCAATGTAATAGCACCCAGGATTTCTTAAAACTCATTTTAAATAGGAGATGTTCTTTCTACCTTCCTCCACAAAGCCACATCCTAACAAAGGTTTTTGACTGACTTTGGTTGATGGCATATTTTCATATCTCCTTAGTTTAATAACAAATTTGTATAAATTGAATCCAAGTATCAAACTAGGAATCATTTATAATACTGCATTTTATCAAACTGTAACTCTAGAAAAACTCTGCATTTTTTATTTCCTGAATTGAGAAATGTTGATAGTCTCTGCATTGAAATAGTTCCACTAAATGGCTAAAGGAGAGCACAGTATTTCAGAGAGGCAAATGTTTTATCATATAACACAACATATATAAGCACGTGTCCTACTATTGGATTTTCATCTTCTTATACAAAAATCTTTCAAACTTTCACAGCTCCTGCCATATTTTCTCTCCAAAAGAATTTTTTTTACCCAGTGTGCCCACTCCCTACCAAGCTCTGGACAATTCAAGTTTCTCAGAGCTGGGGAAAGTAAGAAAAGTTCAGGGCTAAAGAGGATAAGGGATAAAAGTGGCCCTGTACCATAGCTATAAAAATTTTAAAAGCATATACTATTTGACCCCACAGTTCTACTACTAAAAATATTTACAAAATTTCATAAAACAAATCTTTATGTACAAAGATACTCAATGAAGCACTGTTAATTTCTATGAGCAAATATTTATGCTCCAATCATACTGGACTTCTTTTTGTTTCTCAAACACACCAATCTTATTCTCGACTCAGATCTTTTATACTTGCTATTCCCTCTGCCTAGAAGTCTCTTCTCCGTATTTCTAAGCCATTTTTTCCATTATTCAGACCTTGCTCAAAAGTAACCTCTTCAAAAAGGTTTTACGTGGCCATCCTATCTAAAGCTGAAACTCTTATCTCATCACATTTCCTAAGCTACTGCCATCATGAAACTGGTTTGTTTAGGTTTTATTTCATTGTTTTCGATATGTTTCAGCAAACTATGCATATGAAAGTTACATGTAAACAGGGCCCTTGATTTTCTCCTCCATCCCTATATCCTTAGAAGAATATGCGGCATAAAATAAGCACTTAGTATATATTTGACAGATAGGTGAATGGACAGATGGAGGGACAGATGACTAGCAGGAAACTAGAACTAACGTAAAAATGTCCATCAATAGAGAATTGGTAAAAATAAAATGTGAATCAACCATATAGCAAAACCATATGGTTTATATCACAAATGCAAGAGATCTATGTGTACTATCTACAGAAGATTCTTTCAACAAATATTTGTTAACCACCTATACACTATGAACCAGACACTGTTTGAGGAGTTAGATATAAAATGGTGAATAAGAGAAATAGATTTCCTATACAAACATATCCTTGGTTAAAAAGGCATAAAACGTGGATAAATCAAAAAACAGAAAAAATGTAAAAGTAACTTATATACATACTTGAATAGACATGGTATTTTTTTCTAGAAAGACAGATAGGAAACTATTACCAGTGGTTAGTCTAAAGAAAGGGCCCAAGAGTTGGGGTGGGAAGACCGAGAAAAGGAAGGAAAGAATTTATATTTCACCTTATATCTATATGTGTAATTGGACTGTTTTACAATGTACATGTATTAGTTTTAATTTAATAATTAAATATTTATAAATAACCTTGGAATTTCATAGGAAACCTTGAAGGATGTTACAACTGAGAGATCCAAAAGGAAGTGACCATTATAACAACCTTGAAACTTTGAAAAAAATATTGCCTAATTAACCTTCTATAATTATACTTTGTTATGGCTGTTTGCCTGCATGCCTGCTTGTTTGCTTGGTTTAAGTAGAATAAACATGTATGGCAAGAATTTTTTGGAATAGAGAAGTTCAAAATGCATGAGTTTTGGAGAATTAAGTAAATGTTTCCTAAAACCACATTTCTTAGTTCAGTTAGGGACTATTTACAATAGCCTGAGAGTTCTGGGGTATAAAGTTTAAACATTTTATAATGAAGATAAACTGTTTTATATTATGAGTATTGCATGTCTGTCACGGATAGTTTCCCTTTGTTACGTACTTTAGTGTTCAAAAATTGCTATCAAAAGACTATTTACATCCCATTATTGAAGGTCAATGTAATGGTTAATTTTATGTGTCAACTTGACTGGGCCAAGGGATGGCCAGAGAGTTGTTCAAGCATTATTCTGGGTGTGTCAGTGAGGGTGTTTTGGAATGAGATTAAGATTTACATCAGTACACTGGGTAAAGTGGATTGCCCTCGCTAACGTGGGTGGGCCATTCAATCAGTTGAGGGCATGAAAAGAGAAAAAGGCTAACCTCCAGAAAGCAAGCAGAAACTCCCGCAGTACTGCCTTGCACTAGGACATCAGTTCTTTCCTGCTTTCAGACTTCAAATTATGGACTTTTTTTAGGCTCAAGTCGCTCGTTTTCAGACTAGTACTACATCATCAGCTCTCCGGGGCTGCCAGCTTGCTGACTGCAGATCTTGGACTTAGCCTCTATAATCATGTAAGCCAATTCCTTATAATAAATCTGTATGTGTGTGTGTGTGTGTGTGTGTGTGTGTGTATCTCTTATTGGTTGTGTCTCTGGAGAATCCTAACCAATATAGTTATAAAAGGACATCAAATTAAGAGTAAATAAATATTTGGTATTTCAAATATATGGCTTCCACATTTTCAAAACTTGGAGGGTAAAAAATATATCATTTTGAATAATATAGTTGTCTTCAGTGCCGGTTGCAAATGATGCTTTGAAAATGGATATAGAACATTTTAGCCTACTGATTAAAAAAAGAAAAGCAAAATATAAAAATTAGTATTATTTTCAGAGGACTAATCATATTCCAGGATTTTCCAAAATATCCTGAAATGTTTTGCCCTAAGCAAACTAAACGAAATCACTTAATCTAGCACAGAACAGAATATAAAAAAAAGTCATCTTACAGAATAGTTTCTCCAGGGAACAGTCTGTTTTCTTAAGATTCATGTGAGTGCCAAGTTCTCATGCAGTGAAATACCATTCTTCACACAAAGGCTTACAATTTCCATACAATCAATTAAAAGTTCTTGGCAAATCATAGGTAAAGTATTAGAGCAAGTTAAGTCAATCTATAATTACAACTGTTATGAGCAGTCACTTGAAATCAAATAAAACAACAGCTATCAGAAAATATCTTTCAAAAATTAAGTAAAATAATAATCATTTTGGTTTGTATTTCATCATATATTATAATGCTTACTAAAAGATTCTCTCAAACTGAACAAAAACCACAATAATTTTCTACAGTTTAACAATAAATGCTAAAAAAGAGACATTAACAGAAAGAATATACTCTAAAAATAGGTCATACTCTGAGTTTTCAACATTTAATAACAATTTGATAATTAATACAATGTTTATGTAATTTGTTAAGATTACTATACCTAATCATTCCTAATGGACAGTGCTGCATGCAAACTATGTACTTCATTTTTAAAAACTATAATATTAAAGTCAGTGTATAGGATGTAGACTGCAATAGAAATCAAGTTTTTAAAACTAGTAAAATAAATGTTAGGCTTATAGCTCTAATTTCTTGTTCAATATCAAGAAAGTCAGAGCCACCATCATTTATTTTTCTGTGAAGCTATAAAATTTCATTTGATTTCCTTAGGAGTAATTATTTCTCACCCTTATGGTGCCAAGAAAAAAGAGTCATTCTTAATAAATGTTTTCATATTAAGAATGTGATCCTAAAAGTTATTCTTTAATACAGAATAATAGCATTAAAAAAGAAAAATTATAATAAGCCAAACTACATATACAAATTCTCTTGAAGAAATAATTAATTTTATTTTTATTGCAACTTAAAATTATAATGTCAACTATAAATTGTATGTCAGTATTATATTATCTCTTTTTTACCACAATATAAAGAGTTTTTTAGGATCTAGAAATATATGTTCAACTAAAAGTCTATTTCAGAATTTCTTAGGATTTAAAAGTATACGTTCAACTAAAAATTTGTTTTAAAAATGTTACATTTAAAAAAAATTATCTCAAAATAGCAAATCTGCTGAATTAAAATTATCCATAAAATTAATGTAATAGAATTGTACAGCATTCCAAAGTATTAAATACATTAAGAAATACTATTAAAAAAATTTTTCCAAAAGACACTGACAGTTTTTCATTTTAAAAAAGAATGTTACTTCTTTCAAGAAAGTTTCATCTCTATGATGTGTTGACTTATGTAATATAATGATTATTGCAAAATGGCTGTATGAGTAACTTGACATTTTATACTATTAATTCCGTAAGAAAACCTTTTATAAACTGCAAATAAAATGAAGGGAAACCAAAAATTGAACTTAATCCTGTCATAAATATTAAAACTATTACAAAAAGACAGTCAAACATTATATGCCTCCTTATGGAAGTATTTATCACTAATAAGTTCCCACCCTGGGGTGGGAACAGGAGATAGGGGAGAGAAACAGGATTCACTGGACAGGCAGAATATGGGGATATAGATGAAACAAGATTAACCCAGCACAAACCACAAAGGATAATTACTGAAGCTGGGTAATGCGTACATAAGCCCTAGTGATTCTGTTTTTCTACTTTTATATGTTTGCAATCTTCTATAATAGTTAAAATATTTATTTCAAAATAAAAAAGAATATATACAGCATTTGTTATTTGTTATTCAGCAAAACTTGCTGAATAATTATTTCACAGAAGGGAAAATAATATTTCCTTTTACATTAGAATGTAAAATACCACAGTATCTCATGCCTGATACATATACATGCAATAAACACTGTATAATATTTTTCATGAACGTATACATATATACCCCACATAATTTTATACTGCATGTCATTTAGAGAAAAGCCTCCAAATTTAATTTTAGCATGTAGGAACTGAAAAAAAATATTATCAACTAGGGGATATATATTTTATTAAAATGCTTTGGAATTACTCCCTGACCTTAGTAAGATGTAACAATTTTCTGAAGCTAAGACCTTACATTACCAGTGACCTTATGCACATGGGAAACAGGGTAGGTATACTCTGTCACCTTTAGCAAACATTTTCCTTACAAAGCTACTTAGAGTCCATCTGAGACACCCTGAAGCAACATACCAGTTACTGCTAGTTACTTGCAAAGTAAGTAACCAAGCTTATCTTTTTGCAGTCATAACTACATGTAACTGAAATATTTCCTAATTTTAAAAGAAATTTATTTCCATTGCAGATGTTTCCCATTTGCAGAGCAGTCATATTTCTTTGTATATATGCAATTAATTTTTTAAATTAACAAAGATGGTGACTTTCACAGAAGAATCATAAGCAGACATAGTGGTAATGATTGTACAATTGTGTCTCAAAATTTCAACACCTTTCACCATTTAATAGGTGTTAAGTCCATACTCAAACCAATAAATTTAGGTAAATTTTATAATTTATCACAATTTTTAAAATAATTTTAATAAATAACTTTTCATACCAGTAAAAGAAATAAGTATATCTATAACCTTTTACCAAGGTGAAATGATAGCTTGTTATAGCTCAGGCCCTGCATCCAGTAAGGTTCTTTTTTGACTCTTTATTCAAGGGACCACAAACTCAAATCCCATTCTGGTTGAAAAAATTAAGCATTTGCTGGAATTCCCCGATACCTAACATTTCAAACTTTGAAATACTGACTAAAATATTTTTTAAAAATATTTTTTAAAACATAGACAAACAAGGTCAAAATGAAGAAAGAGAAATGTTCACATGTTAAAATCAAACATAACAGTGAATAGGACTTAGACTAAGTAGTCCATGAGAATATTGAGACTAAACTGGCTTAAGGGTTACAGTTCAACTACACAGACTCTCCCTTTCCTTAAATAGCAATCAGATATCTCTAACCACCAGCACAATGTCTTAGCCAGACACAAGTCACAGGCCAAGTTTGGTGCAAAAGTTAACTACTTAAGATTAAAATCAAGGTCAGGTGTGATGGCTTATGAACACTTTGAGAGGCTGAGGCAGGAGGATCACTTGAACCAGGAGTTTGAGATTACAGTGAGCTACGATTGGGCCACTACACTCCAGCCTGGGCAACAGAGCAAGACTCTATCTCAAAAAAAAAAAAAAAAAAAAAGATTAAAACCAAAAGCCTTTGCGATAGTGGGGCAGAGGAACCAAGTTTGTACTTAAGTCACTCAACTGACATAAACCTGCTTGGCTGTCTTAGAACCTTAGAGTGCAACCAGAGATTTAAAAACAAAACAAAACAAAAAAACAAAGGCATGAGCCAGAGTCCAAGATAATTTCTTTTGAAAATAAGCTCATAGAAAAAAACAAAAAACTGTTAAGATATATGAAAAAATCTGATATAAAGAAAAATAGAAGTGGGGATTCACACTTGAACAACTAGAGATAGCAAAGCAATCTGAAATCAACATAGGCATAATATTTAAATGGCCAAATAGATAAAGTAACAAAATCCATTAACAGCAGGCAGTTATTAAATAAGCATACTCAGATTTCAAAAAGAACCAAGTAGAAATGACAAATATATTCACTGAAGTTGAAACTCAATAGATGAAGTAAAACTAGATCATAGAACAGTGGAACAGAGATGTGAAGAGATTTCCCAAAATGTAGCACAAAATAATACAGTTGGAAAATATAAAAGAGAAGAGACATGAAAGATATAATAAAAAGCTCTAGCATATGTTTAATAAGGATTAGAGAAAAGAAGAAAAGATGGAGAAGCAAAATAATTATTCACCAATTAGTGTAAAAAATGTGTCCCAGGGAGAGAATACCTGAATAAGGAGAGCAAGATCCGTAATTCCTGTGGAGATACATTCTCAGCATCATAATCTGACAAAGTTTTTTCGTTGTCTTCAAACTGCCTGAAACCATGGCACTTCTATGTTGTTTTATTAGTTGCAAATCATGGTGATGTACATAATAACTTTCATACTACTAAGGGATGTTTAACAATCTTAAGCTTGTTGTTGATCATTATCCTGTTTCATCAACCTTTATATGAAACACAGGGAGTCATCACCTATATAACTGCATGTTAATATCTAGTATGATACCATTTCTTCATTTTTTACAGTCTAGCACTCACTTGCATACCTTCTGTCAACGAACTTGGTCAAAACTGTTTTTCAAAAATCAAAATAAATAGCAGAATACAAAGCCACACTCACAGGCTGAGAGCATATGCCACAGTACTTTGTAGTCTTAGTTATCACTGGGTAAGAGCATCTGATAGCACTCAGAGCATAGGAAAAATATGTATTAGCAATGTT